CCCCTTAAAAACCCCTTCCCTTAGCTGCCACACTTTCCTTGTAAAACAATAATGAAAATTGGGGATTAGATGACAATAACAACTTCTACCTGATATCTTTGAGTATTCTCAATACCTGTTTGCTGCGCAATGTACAGAGAAGTAACATGTTAATCACTTCTGGGAGTTTAAGGGTTAATCAAGGAACTACATAAAAGTACACAAACCTTTCTGGGAGGTGGTGGAGGTGCTTGTACAGCTTTGCTTTGTTTATCTGCTTCATTTCCAGAAGCTTTATCATTATATTTAACATGAATATATCTCTTGGAATCTGATTCCGATAAGATTAGGAAGAAGTGATTACACTTGTCACACTGTACAAAACGAGTTGATGCTGCAAAACACAAAAAAGCATGTTTTAAAGTGCAACAAATTATATAGTGACTTTTACTTCAAAACAAATCAATAGGAATGAGATGAAAATTTAGCAGTAAACATTTCATGAGGTGGCTCTTCTTGTCCACTATTTCCAGGTCAAATTTGAATTTGCAGTGTTGGATTTTGTGGAGGGAGGAAAACTAGAGGACCTGGAGAAAAACAATTGGGGCAAGGACTAGAACCAACAACAAACTTAACCCACATATGACAACAGGTCCAGGAATCGAAACTGAGATAAATATGGAGAAAAAAAATCTTGTAGCTGGTTGATGTTTATATTCAAAGACCAGAAAAAGAGTTGCAGTGTTCAAGAAAACTCCCACTGATAGTTTGTCTATCAATCCATATGTTGAACCTGTGAAGGTTTAGCAGAAATTCCAAAAAAGATATCTACTATAGTTGTTCTTGAGGGAACTTTTTGAGTATTCCTTTAAGAAAATACTTCCAGGCAAGGAAGAAAAAAAACTTTTCCACACAAGAATTAAACCAAATACTCTTTTTTTATTTAGATCTTGCACATGTAGTGTAGGTTATCCATTACACTCAAGTCTCAGTATGCAAGTACTCCTCTTGACTGTGGCTCAAAAGCTTTGTCATGTGGTTCAGTGAAAAAATGAAATCCTGGACTAAGTAAATGAGTAACCCACAACTTACGTTCTACAGTAGTACATGGATTTCCACATTTTGGACAACTCCATTGATTTCCTGATCCTTTGTCACTCTTGTCTTTGCTTCCACTACTTGAGGAAAAAACCCTTCTGCATTTTCTTTCATGGCAGTGGTTTGAAATTCCTGAAGTACTTTGCCTTGTGCTATGAAGACTTGTAACTGCAGCAAACACAGGTCTACTATCTCTTAACCCTTGATTGTACAATCTTCTGACAGTTGAGAAGCTATAACCCGATTTTATACATTCTGAAAAAGTAGAAAACACTTTTAAGTCACTGTCTTATAAGTCAGGTACTGTTTTTAGAAACATGGTTTTATTTGATTGAATCATTTGTGAAGCACAGCCGATAAAATGTTGTTCACTCACCACAATACATTTAACCTCATTTCCTCTGATACAAGCAAAACAACATTGAAATTATTCCTCCTGATCAAGGGAGTTGTTTACAGTGAGCTTTCTACCTAAAATGTTTAATTTAATTGGCAAGATTTTCTTTCTTTTAAATAAATAGTAAAAAACAATTCCACAGAGATCAAGAGTCTTATTATGACAAAAGTATGGCAAACAAAGTTCTGTCAATTTTAGAATGGTCAGTTGGATAACTAGAGAAAATATTTTTCTTCAAATTTATGTGAAAATGAGGGGATAAGTTACAAAGAAATTGTTGTCCTATTATTACCTAAAAAGTATTTTAAAAGTAGAGTATGTTATAAACATGTGATATGGGCTTTTATTATTTTTCTCAGAAGGCACAGTAACGAATCCTGCTATCTGATTGGTTCTTAGTGCAGTCTGGATTTTCCTATCTATCCCCACCAGCACAGTTATGCTTTTGCAAGTTGCCAAGTACACCCCTCACTAAGTTGCCCTTTTTAAAAAATATGTTCCATTTTGCTGGCTGGGTATTATTTTTAAGCAAATCAAGCTGCTTAATACCTTATTAATCCCCTCTTTTCTCTCTCTCTCTCTCTCTCAAATCACTTTGGTTGCCCACAAAAACATGTTTTCAAAGAGAAAAAGCCACACTGAATTCCCCTAGGTTCTAGATTAATACTCTCATTTGACTTGAGTTTTTTGGTGGAAAAAGACCAGATTTACTCATGCCATTGTAGCAAACAAAGGAGCAAACTTCCACAAATTCCAAACACACATTTGAATTTACTTACAACTATTTTCATTGCCATTTACTGACTGAGCAGAGGCATTCTTTGTACACTAATCATAGATGGAAGGGAATAATACTTTCTGTATGAACATTGGATGTTTTTGAAGGAAAAATTGTTATAACAGTCATCAAACTTGAATTTGTTTGCCAAACCAGTGTCATTATTATTTTTTCAAAAGTGTACATGCACTCTTTTTTCTTGTGTGCTCTCGAATTAACAGGTGTCAGATTGTGACAGATACTTGCAAAAAAATGTTTTGAAGTTTATTTGGAAGCCTTTTAAATCACCTTTATTGTTACACAAACAAAAATATCTTGGTGAAGCCTCTCTCTTTAATTTCAATCTCTATTTCAACTACCATTCACCAGCCTGGGTTGGTCTGTATTGGGAAAAACTGTGTCCTTTGTCTTGAGTACTGCCTGAGGCCATAGGCCAAAGGCACTTGAGACCTTAGGCACAGTTTTTCCCAATATGGACTTCCCTGATAGCAAATAACATACATATATTTTACTAAAACAAACTTAACTAGTATTTCAAACAACAATTCTCTGAAACTTTCGGTTCTGTTTCCAGATCATTTATCCTGCTTTCATCACTCAGTTTCCCAGAGACAATTGCAACAAGGTTAAAAATTTATCAACCACAGTAAAATAATCAACTAGAAATGGTTTCATTTAGAGAATCAGAACACAATATTGAACTTTTCACTACAAAAGTGCAATATCACAATGCTGTTTACAGTCGAGCTCTAAGACAATCTTAAAAATATTCTAGATTCCTGTTAGAAAGTTTGACTTAATGTTCTCATCAAAACAAAGTCTACAAAAAGATTAAGCATAAATTAGCTAAAGAGAGTGAAAACAGAACAAAATTGATTTTCACTTCAAGGTTTCTGTTGCACTCAAACAGAAAGAAGGAGGACGTTTGAATTGATTGAAAAAAACAGCTCTGTTTTCACTTTTGTTATGTCATATGACGACGCTTACATAATGAAAATTCTATTATCTACTACAGTCCAAAGGGCGAACAAAAACGTCACATAATTGACCGTAAAATTCGAATGTTGCGAGAGCGGTAAAAGAAATAATCGCATGCCTAAGAAATCACCCAAATGCTTTATGTTCCCAAGAAAACATCCACGTAAAATTCAACTTAGTTTACAAAACGGACATCATAGGATTGTGGAAACAACTAAGTAAGCGGATGTAGTGAGATCACATACCATGCGCCTTCAGTTCGACCTCTCCTAAAACGCAAATTCTTCCAAAGTGATGTCTCATTTAGTATAATATTAAATGTTAGCCTGAGTTTCGAAGAAAGCCTTCGCTCATATGCGTCATAAAAGTTGAACAGCTCAGATTAATGGCAAAATATGTTTTGGTAAAGATACAATGGACCGGTTTTCAAATAAATTGAACACTCAGAGGCCGCACAAGGAAAAAGCACGGTCTTTTAAACGCTACCACCGTAAAGTAAAACCTTACCTTTTGAACTGAAGATCTGTTTACTGTTCCCTCCAAGGAATCTTAAGGAAGCGGGTATTCTAAACATGTTTATGCCTTGATAAACGACGACAATACTGGATGTAAAATTTAGGATTCTCGAAACAATCTCACTAAATAGGCTAGGATTGAACTAAAATGTCAGTATGTATACTATATGATAGTTCTGAAATCTTAACCAGTGTATAAAAATGAGAATGGACTGGTTTTGATGACTAACAAACGAGAAAACAAGCGAAAACCCTCACGCGAAGTATACGCTCACATTACATCAGTTCGCCATCTTTGTTTTCACTAAACGGCGCGTGCGTAGTGTCATAACAAATACAATGCAAGTCATGCCCCACCCTACCCAACACGGTTTTGTTAAGCAACACTTTGTCCTCTCTCTCTTCACGAGTGACCAGCTGGTTATTTCTCCTAAGCTTTAGTTCCATGGTAAAACTAATATGCCTCAGAAAGGGTTTGAAAAATGACCATTGTGCAAAGTTCTCCATGCACTTCTCTCGTCGCGCTTACTAATGGTGCGCATGGCTTCTCGCTGTCCAAAAGGTAGGGAACTCGCGAACTTTTTGTCACACGTTCACAGAGAGAGAAGGAGAGAAGCTTGCTGAAGTTCTCAATTTTGTTATACAAAAGTTTCTCGATTAATACCACGGGATAATCGCATATCCCATGGGCCTTGAATCCTCGAGAGCCAATTCTAAACACCATCATCTATGGAGTTGAAGTAAATCGGGGAAGATTTACAAGCCCGTCCACACATTTTAGGATGAAAGTCTCACCGTGCAAGAACAAAATTATGCGTATCTCAGTTTTTGGTGCGTTTTAAGGATAGTCCTTGATTCGCAGAGATGGCTCCTAAAGAAAATTCCTTTGAAATAAAAAATTCCATCGGAAAAGGCAAGTGCGAGATCCAAGCTTTTCGTTTGACAGTGTTGTTGTGGTAGTCTTCCAGAGGATTACAATTATACAGAGAAATTCACTTCTCCTCAGTGATTTTATTTTTGTTTGTTTTTTTTACAGCTACTATTCCTATTTTTTTAAAATTTCAAATTATTTTTAAATGATCAGCATTGCACTTTGCTATTCAGAAGATAAAAATCACGTTGGCCGTTTTTATGCTAGAGACGTTAAAGTTGTCTAAGATGTTACAGTCGTCTCGAGACGACTTTAACGTCTTAGACAACTTTAACGTCTCTTGCATAAAAACGGCCATTTATATTCTCCCATTCAATTTATGTGCACATACGTTTAAAAACCCGTAAAGAAAACCTATTCATCACGCGAAGTCCTTTCCGACTTTTTTTGGAGTATTTTGAATTTTCTTTCAGATTCACCAAACTTACAATCGTTGGAATATACGTTCCCATCACTAGCTTTATCTCAGTTGCACATTACATAGGATGATGGCTGCCAGCTCAACAAAATCGTATTGCGTGACGAGTTCCCTCTCTCAATTGTGTTACTAAATACAAGTGTGACACCGCTAGTCGCGGGGCTGTTCTCCTTCTGATTCACCGACAGTTTCGCTGTCATCGTCTTCTTCCTCCTCACTACAAGAATCTTCGTTTATTGAATCTCTATTTCCTTCTCCACTGCTAGCCTTAAAGAGATTCAGTAGATCCATAAAACGCTTTTTCACCTGCAAGTAGTACAAAAAAATGGTCATCATACCGTGGTAACTTGAAAACTTTGCTGTAGTGTAGCCTCCTAGGCGAACATTCTCAGGCTCGTCACGCAATTTTCCTCCCTTCGAAGGCGTGATAGGGACGAATAATTACGTGACGAGCCTAAGAGCGGCTGCGTAGGACTGGGATACAATTCTTACATATTTTGCGGATTGCTCTTGATGTTTTGTTATTCATTGTTGATTGCCTTAAACTGTTTGTTTTAATTGCCCGTGTTGAGTGCTCTTGTTTTGAATGGTTCGGTATTACTTTCGAAGATATCAGTTACCGGGTACTGTCACTGGAAAATCAAATTTAACTTGGAAATATTTCGTTTCTTTCCTGATAAATGTTTCGTGTCGTGATAGGTTTGCACGTGCTCATAAGAAAGTTTTCCTGTTCCAGTATATTTAGTAGTTGGTTAAGTAAGCTATTATTTCTTGTCGCTAACATTGATTTGTGGAATGTCAAAGGAAGTATTAACTGGCATCGTGTGATCAAGCCTTCATAAACTAAACAATGATGTATTTAATCAAATAGTCGCTAGTAAAACCGCATGCGTAGATTAACACTATGATTGTCGAGCAAGCCGATGTAACAGGAAATTAGTGGCCACGAATCATTGAAGAATGTGTAAAACAAAACTGGAACTTTGTCAAGTTTGCTTAAATTATCTTACCACTCCAGACTTACGTATCTGGGTGTGTGTTCCGTAGCTAATAAAACATAGCATTTTTGTAACTCAAAAAAGATGGGATTGAGTTAGGTCGAAAGACAGAACGTGTAGTGTTGGATTGTGAAGAATAAAGTCAAGTTAACCGAAAGTATACAGTCCAAGTCTGTAGAACCAGCGTGTGCAGAGTTTCCTTCTAACGTAGTGAGAAATTCTGCGAAATTTCGCTGCTTGAACAAAATACGTGGTTTTATCCTATATTAAGTCCTCAGGGGCTGAAGAGTGAACGAGAAATGCCAGCAGTCCGCACACCCACCTCATCTGCTGATTTCTTTTCTAATCCCTTTGCAATTCGTTCGAAAGTTTCAGGTTTAGCGCCCATCTTTTGGCACGTCTGTAATATCACTCTGTCTTCCTCCCTAAAGAAAGTTGAAGAAAATAAGATCAGTCATTCCTAATATTTCACTCTCTAAATGTAAGGTGAAATTAGATAGCCAGTTGGTCATGAATCAGAGACTAGATTATGCTAATTCAAAGGAGGGATAATATGCTTTCTGTTTCTTAATCACATTAAAGATTTGATACGACTTTAAACACTCCTTGCAACCGATTGGATGAGGACAAAAATATTCAAGCGCGATTTAATCTAAAACCCCTAAGTCTCAAATTTGTTTGAGTCCAAAAGAAAATTTAAAAGGTCTAAGAACCAAAGAATGCAGTACGAAAAAACTGAAAAAGAAAAGAAATTACTCACTTTGTCCACAGCAGGACCACTTGTCCGTCTTGACTACGTTGAAGATTCTTAGCTGGTACCACAGCACCACCAGACACAACATTTGCAGCATCGCTATCGCATCCACTTGCCTCGGCGTCTACGTCACTCTTGATGACGTCGCCATCGATATCGTCACCATACATAAAGTCGTCATCGTCATCCTCTTCGTACCCGTCATGCTCTATGTCGGAATTCCCATCATCCTCTTGTTCCTCGCTATCGGAGGTTCTCCGCTCGCCTTGTACATCATGTTCGAGGCTTAAAGAGTCGGGATTGTTGGAGCTGCCTTCCTCTCCGCGGAAGCTGTCGTTGCTAGTTTCCGATTGTAGTGATGTGGTGACAGAAAGAGGTGCTTCAAGTGTGCTCACTTCAGCTCTCTGCTCATCCATTCCACTCCCCTCTTCAGCCGATTCTGTATTTGCCGACATTTCAGAGGAAGGCTTCACGTTTTTCGCTGCATTATCTTCTTGAATTTTCCCTGTGAGATTGTCATGTTTAACCTCCGCCTTTGACAGATCCTTTCCGCCTGAGTTACTAGTTTTCGCTTGACTGGCTTTGTTCCTGTTCCCCATTTGTTTGCTTACATTTCCTTGTTGTTTCGTTCCTTTCGCCGTCGCACAAGGCTTTCTTGCCTTTCTTGCGTTCGAGTTTTTTTGCTGAGTGTCTCCCTTGGCTGGTCTGCCTTTGATTTTCTTAGGCTCCATAAAGCATGGTATAACTACTTCCTCAAAGTCATCTACCTTAGGAAACAAAGCACGGCTGCGTTATTATTTTCACTCCTAGAGGGGCATAGGTTGTCCTCTTGAGTAACACATATCCCTTCACTAGATGGTTGGGGAGGCGTTGTCCCTCCTGAGATCTAAATTCAAATTCTTCCCTCTAAGTGCTATATATTTCCTTGTAAAATAGTTTATTTCTAACTCAAGATCACACCCACTAACTGATACGTTTGTCGATCCTCCTCATCTGTTTACAGAAAACTTTACAAAGAACAAAATTAGAATTCCAGTGCAATTTACGAAAACTTCTCATTTTATAATTTTTTTTTTGGCTTTACTGAAGTCTAAAAACGTTTTACTATACCTCTGGTTCACTTCCGCTTCCAAATTCAATTTCCTCAAAATCGTCGTCGGAACTATAAAAATGAAAGGAAAAGCATACAACGTATTTTTTTATGTCTAAAATAGGAAATACAGGGTTATACAATCCCCTACCACACAGAAATATAGGGTCATACAATCCCTTATCACACGGAAATACAGGGTCATACAATCCCTTACCACACAGAACTATAGGGTCATACAATCGCTTACCACACGGGCGGTTTCAAGTCATCAAAAAAGGAGTAGAATTCTTCAATAAGATGGACCTGTCCTTTTAACATCGGAATAATGATTTGCCGTAACTGAAACGATAAAAACAATAACGCATGACACCTCTACTCTGTGTACAATAACCGGGTTGCATATTACACGACACAACATGAGGGCAAGTCCATACAATATCGTGAACAATCAGCGATTTGCTTCTGTACAGGCCTTTATTCATACACGGTATGAAAACAGCAGAGTTGATTTTTGTACCATGAAAATTTTGCGGGCCCAAGACTGGGTCGGAGCCCCAAAGAGAAACATAGGATATGAAAATCTACGAATGCTGCGACTTTCGATGACACGTCGATTATTATTGCAGTTTTTGCAAGTTTTCCAATGATGGCCAGCAGAGACACGTGGAACACTGAAACAAAATTTACCTGGACGAAGTAGCCTACTTTTGGTTAATGAACCAAAGCAAAATAGTTTTCTCTGATGTACCTCCAAAGGATCTTTCACTAATTTCTTATTCCATGAATCGAAAGCGTTGATGATTTTCCTGAACTGTGAAGGACTCCGCTGGAAGTGCACCTTCAAATTAAAAAAATATATTTCTTACTTAATTAGAACATTCAATCCTTATGTCCCTAAGAAAGACCGAAAAACAAATTTCTACTTACAAGATCGGCTCATTTTCAAAACAAAGATGTAATAATAAGAAAGGAAAATATAACTTAAGGTATACCTCTAATTTCCTTAGGAATGTCCTGGCCCTCACAAACTCCGAGTTTGCCATAAACTGAGAAGGAAATAATAAAATGCGAATAAATAACAGTCATAAGTCGAAAAGACACACGAAAAACGTTGTTAGTCAGTTTAAATGTGCGCTTCATATCCACAAGTTGTGCACGCAAACCAAGTGGCCCATACTACTTTTATACAAGTGAGGTAACCCTGACAGTTTGCCAGGTTACCTTGACGGTTTGCCAGGTTACCTTAACGGTTTGCTAGGTTACTTTGACATTTTGCCAGGTTACCTTGACTGTTTGCCAGGTTACCTTGAAAGTTTGCCAGGTTACTTTGACAGTTTGCCAGGTTATGTTGACAGTTTGCCGGTAACCATTAACACTCGTGGGTAAAGAGAGGCACTGTGACAAGAAAGTGTCCTTCCTAGAACCTTACAAACGACCCTCCCAGGACTCGAACCCAGACTTCTCGACCCAAAACCCGGCGCGTTCACTGTTGGGGCACAATGTCTCCCACTTGGCAGCTTAAAGAAACATACATGTAACTATGAAGACGAGACTGTTCATAAACGAAGACGTGCCTACGTCGTCAATTTTCGGTAAAAAGTTAAACATCTAACTCACCACGCCTGCTTCCACCGCTTGGTGAGGTTCTAGAAATCCTACAAAATCCTCCACAAGACCCGGATACTGAGCCAACACTACCTCAATCCTCCTGTACAGCTGGAAGAAAAAAATCGATAAGAGAAAAATCAAGCAAAAATGAAGGAAAGCTGATTGTTGCTTAGATTCAAGCAATATCCTTTCCCTTTACTGATCAATTCAGGTTATTTTCATATGCAGCACAAAGTAAATGACAGGAAAAAAATTCAGCTCAACAATTTCACACTACTGTAGACTGATACTGATTATGGAATACCCTGCGTAACTGGCAGTTTTGTGTGCTTCACGGTTATTTGTCCGCTAAGCGATGAGCAGTGAAGCATACCTCGACTGGTGAACATTGCTCAGCAGAAGACGTCGCAAGTGTCCGAAGGAATTCCTCATAAGTTGCAGAATCATCCACGAGCTGTTTCTAAAATAAACAAAGAAGAGAGTTCTATCGCCTGTTGTATGGGAGAAAAATTACAAAGACAGCGATACTTTCTTCATACGCGATATCAAAATCAAGCTTAACCCTTGAACCCCTAAGAGTGATAAGCATCTAATTTCTCCCATCAGTATCACCCCTGAATCGAACATTGAGGTCAGGAGAATAAAGGAGATGATCACCAAATAAAGAAATTCTTGATTGTTAAACAAATTCTCCTTGTCAGCAGGTTAGGAAAATATATAGAGAATATTATGGAGAATACGCATACTGATGTTAGGGTGTAAAGGGTGAAAGGAATACGTCGTATGAAACTGAGGATTCTAAATCCTTTCAATCTTACCTTAACTTTGGCTAAAAAGCTTTCCGCAAATGCATGTGCTCGGTTTATGACCTGAAATAATAAGAAAATAAAACTCACATAAGTTAGGACATAGATAAGTACATCCTGCTCATTCCACGGCTAAAAGACCTCCAAAAAAATCATCAGTGTTCTCGCCTACGATCTGTTGCTCTCTTGAACAAATCTATTGTGGGATAAAATAAACACTGAGGAAGAATTTCAAACGAGAACTATTTGGTGCGAGCATCCCATTGGTAAATCTTCCCGTGCAACCCTTGCATGGAAGATTTACGTATACAAAGTAAACACGACATTATCAGTGCTATTTTTACCTTTGGATCAGGTTCCAGAATATAACTTCCCGCCAAGCTCGCTTGTGAATTTGGAGTGGGTTTACGCGACGTTCCAACTGAATTTCCTCCGCTCTCAGACCCAGAGATGTGTGACTTTGACGTCACACGACTACCAGTCACACCACCTCCGTTTTTGTCACGCGATGTCTTGTTCTTGGACGTTGTAGCAGGCTTGTTAGTGGCAGTCTCCGAAATTGCCTTATCCGTTGATTCCTTCAAGACATTCTCTTTGTTACTTTCATTAGTCTCTTTCACAATCGTAGTGTTACTCGCAGACTGAAGATCACATTCTACAGAAGGAACACTTGTTCCTTGTCCTGCTATGCCTTGTGTTTGTTCAACAGTTTCCTCGTTCACTGGTGAGGTGGTTTTCATGACATCATCAGCGGCTTCTGCTTCTTCTGTTACAACTGGTGATGGCGCATGATTCTCATTTGTTTGACTGACACTCTCATGGCAGATACTACAATAAAATCGATAAAATACATAAATGTAATACCAACCTGACTACGAGATTGTAGAAAAAGACCAAAATAAATGAAGAGTCAATTGCAGTAAAAGCACAGAGTCCAAACATAACCCGGACACAAACAAAATTACTCATTTCAGTTGGGATCATCAGATGAATGGTTTCACTGTAGTTGAACGCCTTTTGATTGAGTGTCGTAACTCCTAAACCTTGAGTAATCTCACTGGATGGAACATCGCCGGAACGGGCAAGGCGTCTAAAAATCGCCGTTATATGGTATTCTGGTAAGGGAAGCTCTATGCTCTCTCAGTACCGCGTACACTTGGTTAATTTCGCCGACCGCCGCAATCGGCAAGAAAAAAGTCGCCTAGTGGGTCAACAGCTTTGAACAAAAGTGATTCCACGCTAGCCTCGATGCCCTATCAGACCGGAAACAATGAGGTAACTAACATGAAAAATGTGAGGACAAACGCATCCTCGACCTAAACAAAACCATCAGTTAAGAATACAGACAAATCTTCCACTAATCATTACTACAATGTTTTACTCAGAAAAGTTCTTGGGATACTAAAAGGAATGATAGATCTTATCAATTACACAACCTACCTAACGTCTGGAGATGTACAAGCACTTATCACGTTGGGTTCAGGCAAAGAATCTCCACCTTTAGACACATCTTCAAGTGGTTTCATTTGCGTCATTACATTCCATGGGCTGACACTTCTTGGTACAGCCACCCAAGTCACCTTCCCCTGCTCTCCAGTAGGCGAGACAGTCGGCAACGCCAAAGCACACGTTCCTCCGGTGAGTTTAGGTGCAATTGGTCGGCCATAAGCTGCACCCTCCAGGCTCTGCTGAATGGCCAGGGCCTCTCTCCTTTCTTGACTTTCACGCCGCTCCTTCTGCTTCTTTTTATAATTAATCAGCCATTCAGGCTCCATTGACTCCCTCCCACGCGGTCGACGGCTGCTAAATTCTGAAAAAATAATTTCCAACAATTCATATTGCAGTCAGTGTTACCTGTGGAATTATGGGAAACGCAAAGGACGTGATCCAGTGGTTAGCGCGCTGGACTATGGACTGAAAGGTCTGAGTTCCAGCCTCGGCCCGGGTCACTGTGTTCTGCTGGGTTGCATACCTTTGACATTGAATTGGAAATTTCCCGAAAGGAACGAGGATAAGCAAGAGTCTAACAGCAATGATCCACAAACCACGTTCGACCTGCCTTGCGCAGAGAGATTATCATGCCAACTACAACATACCCGCAAGAAGTTAGAAATTCGCCACTCTTCTACTACGAGTTTCAACGAGTGTTTTTTCTTGGCGACCATGTTATGATTTTAGGTCGCCAAGACTTTGAGAAAAGTCGAGCTTTGCGTGCGAAAATATGCGCAGCAAAGATGTGCAGAACATTATTACGGAATGACCCTCAGTTTTACCTGAAGACACTTTGATTTTAACTGGCAATTCCCACAGCACTTTGTTTCTACGGTAGTACTTGACAATGTTCTCTGGAGCACGGGCTGACAGCAGATTTTTGCAGCGTATCTGCAGTTGTTTAGGACTCTTGACTGGCAGCAGGTGTTCTTGGATAAGCTCCCACCTTTTACCATGTTGCTTCATACCCAGAGCCAAAAGGTTGTCTTCAGCGTCAGAGAACTTCACCCTGAGTCCATTGAGCTGCTTAGGCGTGTCACCCGTTCTTGGTAACAGGTTATGATGAGGAAGAAGCTCAATAAAACGGAACACACTTTTAAAAGTGGCCATCATCTGGATGTTGGTATCCGATGGCGATGGGAGAAGATCGTCCGTGAGAAATTTCGAGCGTTTAGCTTTCTTGGCAGCAGCTTTGCCGTCTTTTTTGGGTACGTTACATTTTCGAGGACTTGGAGTTCTTCGCTTCGTAACATAGGCGCTGTTAACAATTCTGCAACAATTAATATGTTGAGTTCATTTCACTATCATTGCTGCAATCCTTACGGAAGATAGTAGGAAAAAAGTTGATTTTACTTCACATCAACAACTCAGGTTGCAAAATGTTACAATTTCCCTTTCTGAAAACCAAATGTTCCTCACTACTTTAACCTCCTCTTTACTCTTCCTAAACGCATTACCCATCCCTTGCTCACTTAAGAAAAATTTGTATAAAATAACTGCAGTGACCCAGCGGTCAGTGCACTTCACACTTGCTGCAAAGGACCGGGTTCGAGTTCTGACCTGATTACTTAGTTATGTTCAGAGTAAAAACACTTTTTACTCTCTCGGCCCAGGCGCCTGTTTCTCGAAAGTTCCATCGATTTATGGGTCCGGAGTAATAATTTTAGATTTCATTCAAAGGAATAATAATGCGAGCCTTGGTTAAACATCAGCCCATCCTGTTTCTCCTCGCCATACATTTGTTGTTTCAATTGCAAAACGTTCATTTCTATATCTTGAATGAGACCCAGCTAGGAAAAATCTACTTTTACAGGCCCTTTAAGTTGTCGGGTATTTGAAGAACAGGGCTCCAGGTAACGATGTCAGAGCAGATTTTGGCCTCCGGTCAGGAAATGCTGGGGTATAACTCTGTGATGGACTAACATCCTATACAGGGGAGTAGGTGTACTCCTCAGTAATCACTTCATGTTTCTGTAACTAGGAAAAGCTCCACGAATCAGTGCCTTCCGATTCTTAACCCGACCTGACCTGACCTTTGACTCCAACCATCAGCCGATATTTGATCCAAGGCGTGCCGTACTACCGTAAGGTATTTACATACTGTATTTATACCGTATTTACATTATTTACATTTATACCGTATTTACCACGAAGATCTACACTACCACAATTACATGCACATTCACATTCGGGCCTATTAAAAGCTTATTACTGGCTGCCCTTGGCACCTAACAAGGAATATATGACCACTTTTAAGAGGTAAAGGCTTAAACTAAATGCCTTACTCAACAGCTTCCTCCAGTCCTGAGAAGGTAAATGCTGAGTTATGTACAACACCATCCCCTAGTCCTCTGATGAGCTGTGCATTGGATGCTCTGTCTTGGAAACTTTTTAGTTCGTTGACATACTCGCGAGTTAGCTCAGCCTCTTTATGCAGGCTCTCGTCTTCTCGGGCCATCAGGTTTATCTGTGTCAGGAGTTGCAAATGCTTCAAAAAAAAAAAAGGAAATTGAGAGTAAATTGTTACAGCAAACTTTTGCATATTTTTCCCACCAGAGCTATGGCCCAGAGGGAAAAGAAATACTATGACTACTCACTTTAATCATTGTTCACAAACTGTTAAAATTCTCTTT